CCATACACGTGACGTTGACAGGGCATGCGTTAAATGTCCATACGTGTATAGTGCTTTTTTTTTGCGCTTCATGCGATAATGTAGATAGCTTGGGCTTCGTATCAATACATTTAATAGGGATCTATTTGCTTCATAATAAGAGGTATTATCACATAGCAGCGAAATTCTGTCTCAATATTTTCTTGTAATTGTAACTTTATTCCCTTTTTTACTAACCAGTTCTACATAGCTGAAGTGGAAGGTCAATTCAAGGGGTCTACGGAGGCCGGCGCCGAGAAGTCAATCACGCCGACCCCAGTAGTGGTCGACCAACCACTCGGTCGTTTGAACAGTCGGTTGGGTCTCAACGCTGTCATTCCTGAGAGTGAAGGTGGGAAACCTGCAAAAACTGCCTTCGTGCCGCTTCTGTGGAAGAAACCAAAAGATGCCGATGATCCTGGAAGCACAATTGTCCTCTGTCGTCTCTATACTGGCCGTACGCATCAGGTGCGAATTCACCTGCAATACTTGGGTGAGGCATGTTGTGAAACAAATCACAACCTGGCTGGCAATGAATGATTATAATCATTTGGCATCTTTTTTCTCTCCTCCTTCCTCCAGGATTTCCCATTGTCGATGACCCACTCTACAATTCCTACGATTGGGGTGAAAGCAAGGGTGCATTTGCGAAGTACCGAGAACCTCGGGCGGAGCTTATAGCTGCCTTGGCGGCTACACACAATAGGAGCACCTACCTTAAAACGGCTGTGAGTTCTCATTTTCTATTCTGTTGGCATTTAAAATTGTCACATAGCGACTAGGCTTGCAGACAGAGTTACTGTACAGGGCTTTATTTTCCGAATTCCAGCATTTAAGCCTCATAGTTCTACTATCTTGGTGGCGTTGCGTCAAAATTCTGTACGAAAGAGGTTTCAAATCCGCAAAATAGGTGTGAATTTTTTTGCACTTGTGGTAAAACCATGGCAGCCTTGGCTGTGCCTTTGACGTTATCATCTACAGGAGGTTAGTACACGCTAGCTTTTTTTCATTTGGGCTTGCAGAGAGCATCACAAGTAGCTGTGTTTGAGCCTTAGCAATCCTTACTTACTGATATTACCGATTGGAAAATGTCAGACCTTCTCCCAAAGGCTCTCACCTCTAAACTCTGGGTCTGGTCTGTGACGGTGATTTTGGACTTATTGGATGTTGGAAATGTGTTCGTAAAATCTTTTCCGC